GAACACAAAAATAGAGAAAGATGGATGGACCCTTTAAAGAATGAACTTTTAGTAACAGTTAGACAGTAATGTCAGTCCATCAGGAAATTGGACATACCTAACGGGCCTCTCTCCATCCCTAATAAAATTCTAGGGTTCTCCTTTTAATCCACCGAGTCATTCCCCTACACAGAACTTGTGCAGATTTCTTCAAAAGACACATTACTTCATTCAAGACAAATGACTGTGCAGATAAAACTAGCAAATAGATCAAACATGTGAACGCTGTCACTAATTTGTGAAGGACAACTCCAGGATGTTACCCCAATCTTACAATTGACTCTGACCTCTGCCATGGATTGAAATGTCTCTGGAAACATTATTTTGGGAGGAGTAATTGAACATCTAAATTAATGTAAACATTTAATCCTGTGAGAACCAACTAAGAAGTTGTCCAAGAAACTTAATAGCAGTTTCTATTCCAAATAGTTTATCATTCCACTTTTCTGAGTTTGGGAAGAAATATCTGAGAGTGTTAGGGCATGGTAACATTGTAGTCCTGTTCTCTAGTTCCTGTTTGCAGTGTCAAGTTAAAATAACCTGCTCACAGCCATTCCTCACTTCATTTTGAAACTCTGGATCACACCTCTTCTGAAATAATTTTGCCATAGAAAACAGAATAAAATTCAAAACATATGACATTGAAATAGAGAACTAACCCAACAGTATGCAATCACTTCACTCAAAGTTCCTCGTAGCACTGTCATCTCCATTCCCTTTAGTCATGGTTTGTATTAAACATTTAATGCTTGTGATAAGGGAAGGAACATTTGGGACAATTTTCAAAGCCACCCAAGCTCTTGCCACAAACTTTTAGATGCTACAATTCTGCAGTTCCAGTGTAAACTGTGTGGAATTTGCTTGCTCTGATCCTAACTCCTACTATTAGGAAAGAGGAGAATTTATATCTAGCACTTTTAACAATTGCTGTAAAATTTGAGTTGTAGACCACCATTTGCTTGAGCCACATAGCCTACTTCTGTTGGATAAGTGGTGGTGTGTGTGTGTGTGTGTGTGTGTGTTTGTGGGGGGAAGAGGCAGCATGTGGGTTATAGTCTAATAATAGTCTATAAGTTGCACCTTGTATTTAAAGAACATATAAGCATTCATGAAGATATAGTTTACTTGCTGGATTTTACATTTAGACTTTCTTGCTTCTGAAATGATCTAAGATTCTTCTGTAAATTTCTAATAGAAATTATAATAGAATTAAAAGGATGCAATAACTATGGAGTACTGGTAGCCGTATTAAAATGTAATTTGGAGATCATTTTCAGAATGTGTATGTTAAAATGTCATTGTAGCAAAGCTGATCAAACAAAAATACAGGATTGGTGATGTAATGTCATACATTGCATAACAAAGTCATAAGGACACACATATGTTACCCTTACTAGAATAATATTATGCTGTATGAAGAGATTTCACATAATGGGTGAGTATGGCATCATTGATCAGCTGTTTATTAATAAAAAAAAGGTCAATATTTGATTCAGTCCTCCTGAAGGCAGCAATGTATGCTAGATTACAGTATGGCATCTACCAGTCACACTCACTCAAGAGACCATTTGTTCATGTGTAAACTCTAACCATGAGTATTGGCACTCAGCTTGACTGAGATCTGGGTACAGTAGGAAAGGAAGCTCAAATCAGTCCAGCAAAAATCAAGAATGGAATCTGAACTGATTTCCACCAGTCCCCCCAAACTGAGTTTTAGCGTAGGGCTACTGTAACCAATTCTGCCAAACCAGTCAACTTAGCCAATGGCTATCTTACTACTAAATATCTGTACATGGCTCAGCGATTGCAAGAGAATGTTTGATTATTGCAGATGGGTCAGTCACAAGTGGTGCATTATTGCTGACATACCAGTTTGTATGAATTGGCATACAAGGTGTTTCCATTGGTACCTCAAGTGATAACTGCAGTTGGGCGACTTATGAGTTAAGGGTTAAATATTTAAGCAGGACATCTGTCTTCCAAGTGGTATCACTTCATAGAATGTGTGTAAATGAAATTCTTGATGATGATACTGATCCTGTATGTACTGGATCAGTTTTTGGATCCTCTACCTTAATTTTTTAGAAAATATTTCATCATCTTCATTTGATGGACAGGATCAAATGAATGCTAAATGTTTCCAAAACGATTTGTTAAAAAGTCCACTATTTTTCCTCCACTGATTGTAAACTATAATTCTTAGCTTTTGCTGTACCATTACATTTCAATTTATTTTGCATTAATCCTACAATAAGTTCATGCTTACCAGAAGGTGAATAATTTGGCTTGGCATTTTCTATGAATTGTGTCAACAATAACATGGAAAACGTCAGCAGACAGACTGCTTCATTTCTCCACTGAACAATTAAAGAAACAGATCTTTTTGTTTTGCCAATCCTGCCAGAGATTTGATTGATGTGGTAATCTAATTAGCAACTTTCTGCATAACAAGAGAGCACAAAAACTTATAAAATTCAAATTCCCTTTATGTGCCAATACTACATCAACAAGATTTATAACATTGAACAGAAATAGGCTGATAAGCAGTAGACGCTTGTCCTGGCAGAGTTGAACTGACCTTGTTGAAGATTTCTGTTTGTTCCTTCTCTGCAGGTTGATTATCCTCTGAACATGCCACTGTCAGGTGGTTTCAAAATTGCTTAGTTTTCTCATAATGGTACAATTTTTCTTTTTGGAACATAAACAATAAATCAGCAAAACCAGAAATAAAGCCGAATCCATGTTTTAGTAGCAGCTTGTTTCGTAACAGATGCAAAAGCACAGGTGATTTGATCATGATGTGTGAAAGCTTTGGCTGATTCAGTTTATTGCAGGTAAGCTTACAAAGATTTTTTGTTTATTTTGTCAACTTTGTATCATATGGAATTCCTGACTAGGAAAGGGAAATATAGATACAAAAGATGGGTTGAAAACTTATCCACTTCTGGCTAGACCCAATAAATTAATCATCATTTTCTGTCTCCTGCACTGCATCAGTGTTGATATGGTGATGGCTCTGGCTTTACTGACAATGTTCAAACAGAGTAGTCCTAACTTCTCAAGGTCCAAGGAGAAATGGGTCTTTTGACTAAAGTTAATTGGACCTCCGCTGTGCTGAGGCAGAGAATGAATGACCCTACTCTTACCCTGGCACCATAACCACCCTTTTTCCATACAATATACATATGAATTATCAATTCTCCTGCAACATTGGAAACTATAGCAAGAGTCAGAGAATGTTATTGTGTTGATGCTTTTTGCTTCAGACTAGATTCTTACCAACATACAGTACTCCTGTCTCACAATAGGTTAGCCACAAACTACTGCTTTCTCTCTCCTCCACTCTTTCCTTCATCCCCTTTCCAGTCAAATACATTTAATTAAGAATTAAATACAATTTATTGCAGCCTATTTTGTATTTTAGGCACTGTTCCTGCCTCGTAACGTCTCGTATATGTTGGTTTTAAAGTCTGTTTACCTTTCTGTGGCAGGTTAACGATCTGCTGCGGATTTGGTTCCTTTGCAGAGTGTGCTGTAAACAGAATGTACTTGTATAAACGGATAGTGCGCTTTTTTGTCTCTGCTTGTTCTATATTTTTATTAACCAGGTTATCTGTCCTTGTAACTACTGATATTGTGCAATTCTACAGAACTGAGATTTACTAATAAAATGGGAAACATGGTGATAAAACCTCTAATGTCATGAAGTTCATTTATGTTCAGAAACAAATTGATTGATATTCCTTGCAACTAGACAAAAAGTTTCACAGTTAAGGTTTACACTTATAGTGGTGTTACATTGTACAAAAGATTCAAAATATTTTAAAATTCATTCACAGGGGAGCATGCGCGCTGCTAACATTTATAGCCCATCTCTAAATGCCCTGAAAAAGGTCATGGTATGCAAGGCCATTTCAGAGGATAGGTAAAATCAACCTCGTGTGGTTCAGCAATCATTTGTAGGCTAAACCAAGTAAAGATAGCACATTTCCTTCTCTAAAGGACAACAGTGAACCAGAAGTGTTTTTATGACAATTTGGAAATTTGTCATCATTACTGAGAATAGCTTTTTATTGCAGATTTATTTAATTATCTGAATTTATATTCTCCAACTGCTGTGATAGGATTTGAACCCAGTCTCTGAATTATTAGTCCAATAATCATTGTGGCACCACTCCCCATGACACAATACACTATATGCTGCGATTAGGAATGCAAGAAGGGAAGCTACAAATCAATCCCTAAAATATAGTTGCTACATTTTTTTCCAATTAGTTTTCGCTCTTTTGATAACTTGGATATGGGTACCAAGTGAATCAACTCTTGTCCAGATGCACAAGTGTTACAGGAAAGCTGACACAAAGGCCTGAAGATGTAATGTCCTTCTGCTTCCTGCCTACAGTGCAAATTAGGCAGCTGCCTGAATCTCAGCAGCCCATTTGGGCTAGTGAAAATTAGCTCCCACAGCCCCCCATTGCCAATGAGCTGTAATTCAACAGGGCTACGATGAGACCACAACTGGAAAGTAACCTGTAGTTCCAGACCGTGAATAGATTGCACTACAGCCAGTCAGTTCCATTTCTGCAGAAAAACAGGGATGCCACTGAAGTGAGAAGAATGTGAAAATCAGGACGCTGGAGTCAGCAGCAGAGAAATTATCTTGTGCATTGACAGTAAAATGTCTTCCAAGAAAGAGGGAGGCTTATTCAGCATAGCATTAGCACATCGGTGCACAATGCTGCAGCAGCAAAACCCACTGTTTGATTGCTTTTATTAGGTTCAATGTATCTGGCTGAAGCTGCCGAAATTGACTGAGGAAACCATCTGCTAGTGAACAGCAAAGTCATGTTTAATGGATAATTATCAGGAGAGAAAAATGGCCTAGTGACTCAAGGGACCTTGTGATAACTGAAGCTGTGAAAGAATGCATTCAGGGAGAAATTAATAATAAATTGTTAAGACTGATTACAAATCCATTTTTATTTGATTGGATTTTTAAAACAATTAAAAAGGAGACTCCAGGTTAAAAAACATTGCATTCCAGAATCTGTAAAAAATTAATTTTACATTTACAAAGCTTGTTGGATCTGATATTCCCTCTGCGCACTCATTGAAGGAGCAGATGTGAGCTTCATCATTTTTATTTTCAGCTCCAAATCTTCATTTAAGTATACTTGAGGTAATTTTCACAGAATACATATTAAATTGCTGACTCTTTGCGCAATTTTCTTTCATGCTCAAGTTTTTGGAAACTAAAGTCTGAAAGGTGCATAATTCATTAAAGAGCCTGGAGTTTGCTGTGTTCATTCCACCAACATTGTCACTGTCGCTTGTTGTTACTCCATGAAAACTGCTAACATGGAAGGGATACATTAATTTGCAGAGCAACATGAAAATGCAGCAGTTGGTGTCAAGTGAATCTATGCTACTCTGTTGGCTGCATTGTAGAGATTCGCATAGACTGATATCTACACTGCAAACACCCCCTTCAATGCCATTTGTTTCACTGTTTAAAATCCTTAGAAAACCATGCACTTTGTTGAATGAGCTGCAACCAGGTGATTAAATTATTTTGATTTATAATAATTGATAAATGCCCTTTCTGACCCAAAAAAAAAACCTAATGTTGTATTTGTTGATTGCCAAACGTCTGCATAACAAAAAAACCTATTATTTTGCAAAAGTGGGCATCTTAATTAAAAATAAAGGCTATTAAGTGTTTGTAATGTCCTGGTTTACCTTATGTGAGCAGTACTTTGCAATTGGCACCTTGCTTGTTGGGATCACTGCTACCACCTACCAGAACATGACTGTTGGTTAATGATCTTGTTCAATATTAGAGGTTGGTTGTGGGCGAGTTACTATTGGTTAAAGCGAGAGCCTGATGATCATAGTACCATTCAATACATTGAGAAGGGGTGCATTTTGATTGGAAGCTGTTCAGAGAAGATCACAAGAGCAATTTAGGGGACGAAAGTTTTTTTTACAAGGAAACGTTGAGCAGTTGGATCTATATTCATTGGAATTTAGAAGAATGAGAGCTGGAGCCCTCTTATGGCCCAGTGGTAGAATCCCTACCCCTAGACCGAGAAACCTGGTTTCAAGTCACCCCCTGTTCCAGAAGTATGCAGTAACATCTCTGGGCAGGTTGAAAAAAATAGGTTAAATTTTAAAAGAAGAATGAAATGCGATCTGACTGAAACATACAAGATTTTAAGGAGGCTTAATAGGGTAGACGCCGAGAGGATGTTTTCCCTTGTGGGGAAATCTAAAATGATGCGGCACAGGTTAAAAATATAGTGTTTTTCAGTTAAGGCAAAAGATGAAAAAGAATTTCTTCTCTGAGGATCATTAGCATTTGGACTTCTCTCTAATGAAAGGTGGAGGCTTGGTTGTTGAATATGATCAAAGCTGAATTATTTAATCGACAGGGGTCTCTAGAGTGATATGTGGGGAAGTGGGTGGCAAGAATTGGGAGTTAAGGCCATCATTCAAATCAACTGAATGGCACAAGAAGTTCGAAGTGGCTGAATCGTTTCCTACTGTTCGTATTTCTTATGTTCTCATGTTCATCTTATCCATTTACTTGGCACCAGATTTAAATTACCACTGGAAAGGGAAAAGCATGTCACAGATTCTAGAGAATTAGATCTATGTAGGTAGCTTTCTTTGAGACCAGCAGTTACTGACTGCAAAATCCAGACAGCTTTATGCTGCTGCCGAATAAGCATCATGTTTAAACATACTGATTAAATGTCAGTGTTAAACCTGTTTATGTGGTCAATTTACATCCCTACAGGAGCACAGAGCAAAGCAACCTCTCAGGAGAATGAAACAATTTGCATTTATATAGCACTTATTAGAAAGTCTCAAGGTGCTTTAGGAGGAGATGGAAGGCCAGAAGACCATGAGATCTCTGAAAGAATTACATTTTTGTGGAGAGTCTTAAAAAGGAAGACTGAGAGATGGAGAGGGTGATGGAGGGAATTTCAGAGTTTAAGGCCCTAGCAGCTTAAGTCATGGGCACCACTAGTGAAGCAATAAAAACAAAAAAGTGATGTACAACAGTCAGAACTGGAGGAGCACCATCACCTCAATGGAGCTGGTAGAGGCTGGGATTTGAGAGACCAAACCAGATCACAATTACAACATTCAGGTTAACTGTGGCAACAGCATTCACTGTCTCAGCTGCACAATCTGCAATGTCAGTATCACTGAGCCACAGTTAATACAAATCACACTTCCAAGGCAGAAGGCAGTGGGATCAAACCATTCTACAGGATCTCTACGCTTAATCTAGCCTCTTAAATCAAGCAGCAGTGATGTACTGAAGTATCTCAGTTTTACTTCCTTTTTAACCTTGACCATGTCCTTCAGGTTCAATCTCTATGAGGCTGCTGCACTGTACCATTAATTACCATTCCTACAGATGTAGGGGGACCTTAAACCATCAATCATGGACTGGGGTAGACAGTAAACATCCTGCTTCTATTTACATAAATACAGAAATGAATTAACAGGAGGATATGGAATTCAAAGAAAACACACGTTGGAGTAACTAGCTAAGTGATATCCTCCACGTCATAGGATTGTTATAAAGATCTTCTCAGGGTTCAAATTTTGTCTCAGGTTGGATTATAAATTCTCACTTGCAAATTTCCATTTCTCCAGGATAAACCTATAATTTCTGTGACATGATAGCAGCTAATTAACTAAAATCAAATGGAGTCTGCTTGCCATCGTACTCAATTTTAAAAAAAGCCCACGATAATGGGAGTTAAAGACAAAGGTATTTCTAAGACAGCCCAGAGGTTCCAAAAGACAATGTTTTATTGGTATAATTCTAAACTCTCACAGGCATCCATCAGTAAATTTTCACAAGGCTGAAGCTCTGTAGACAAATATTGAGCTACTGGCTCTGGAACTACAATGTGCTGCACAAGAAACAGAGAGCTTAAGGACAAGTTTATGATTTCCTACAGAGGGATTTCCTGACCCTGCATGTTATTCAACCGAAGTCACCAGGCAGCACCTCAGAAAGAGGAATAAAAGGGAGGGGGAGGGAGAGGGAGAGTTCAAAGAAACAAAGTGAAAATTTGTTCCCAGCCTATTCCTATCTAAAGTGACAGGAGATACCAGTCAAAGAGAAAAGTCTTCAGTCTACCTCCACTCATACAAAAGCAGTTCCTACTATCTCTGATTCAAAAGCAGTATTAGTCCAGATAGTGGAAATCTGAAATAAAAACAAAAAAAAAACCTTGAAAAAAACTCCACAGATCAGGCAGCATCTGTCGACAGAAATATTTCAGCTCAAGTGACCTTTCATCAGAATTGAACAAAGTCAGTCTTCTGGAAGGAACCAAAAAGAGTTGTTTCATAAATATCATTCTCAAAAATAATGAAGTTCAAAAACAGCTTCTGTGTCTTAATCAAATACCCAACAATGCAAATCTAAGTAAATACTCAATCCAAACTTTAGATATCGATAAGGAATAAGTCCTTGATGAATAGTTACAGGTTCAATATTCTCATGAAACAAACATTCAGTTCAGGGTTACTGTGGCTTCTGGCATGCATGGGCTAGATGGTTGCTCATTGCCGACCCACGTTTCCAAACAAATTGTTTCTTGGAAAAGCTCATTCTGTGCTTTTGTTTTCCTCATCTCCCACGCCCCCAAACATAAGCATTTGAATTCCAAACTCTGTTTCGTGTTTTTTCCACATCCATGAGATCACATTCTCATAGGTTCACAAGAGAGACAAGTTTCCTTTCAGTGAAGAAACGATGTGGCTGATCTTTAGGGCCTTCGGTCTTTCTTTGAAAGTAGGATAGCACTGAAGATGTTTCCTTTTTGTTGCCATCCTCGTCGTCATCCCTAAAAAAATAGTATGTTTAAAATAAATGTACTTCAGAAAACACAGTATTTGGGAGTGCAGCTGGCATCAGAATCCCAGGCTAAAGATTGGGAAGAAAAATTCAGAGTTCTTGCTTCAGATTGTAATGTTACAAAGTTCTGAGGGCAGAGCTGAACTTAACCAACAACTGAACCAAATAGGGCATTAAATCATTTGTCTTTCAAATGAGGCACATACTAGAGGTAGGACAAAAAAAATCCTTTGGATTTCCAGTGTCCTGTGTGAAAAGAATCTGGGCAATTAAATGCAGTTCCTAGATGGTGTGATCCTATAGAAATAACTGTCCCCAAGTCTGAATTAATTTGCACTCCAACTGGTAAGCCAGAGCATAGTGTCGAAAAAAAACATGTCATGCTGGGGAAAAAAAAAAAAACAGTTGTGGCCAGGGTGGGGATAGATGTTCACCTGACAAACGCTGATGCATGCTTGTGGAGGCAAATTTACTCCGTAGCTGGTTACACTAAATCTGGCCTTGGACATCTTAAATCATCAATAAGGTATGCCTGAAATGGGAAAAGCTCCCAATCCTCAGTACTAACATATCTCACTGTGATCTTACATTGCAGAATGATGCAAGTCTACCAGTGTCATGATACTGACATGTATTTGCAACTAGATAAGGAGAGGAAATTACTACAGTGAATAATTTCAGGCGTCTGGTATCAGATATAAGTTAGACTTCTAAAAAAAGCAAACGCACTAGATGTCACCAAATGAAACAATTTCTTGTTAATTCTTTTGTTGGACTTCTCCATCGCTGAATATTTAATGCCACTCAGCATGTGGCCAACAACCTGCCATTCACAATCAGTCACTCAAAACAAAGTGTGCTGTACAAACACCAAAATCCAGGGGTCAAAACTCTGCTGGACTGCAGAGATGAAAAGGATGAAAATGCATCATCCAGCTCCAACTAAATGGAAAAACAAGAAGGTGAAGTGTAAAGAAATCAATAACAAAAAAGGTTAATGCAAGACCAAAGGAAGGACATCTAATAGGTATGTTCTAACCAACCTGTTCAGAGATGTTATTACACATCTCTGGAGTAGGTGGGTCCTGAACCCAGGCCTCTTAGCCAAGAGGGAGGGATACTTCCACTGTAGCACAAGAGCCCTGAAGGATATCTATTATTTCACAAGTGGAAATAGATAGGTGGAGGCGCAGAAACTACAGAAGGACTTGCGACAGGCTGGAGGGTAAGCAACGAAGTAGCAGATGGAATACAACATGGGAAAGTGTGAGGTTACGCACTTTGATAAGGAAATAGAGGCATCAATGATTTTCTAAGTGGAAAAAGGCTTCAGATAGAGAGACTTGGGAGTCTTTGTTCAGGATCCTCTCACGGTTAACTTGCAGGTTCAGCTGGCAGTTAGGAATTAGGATGATAAATAGAATGTTAGCATTCATTGAGAGGGCTAGAAAACAAGAGCCGGGATGTCCTGAGGCTGAATATAGCTCTGGTCAGATCACATTTGGAATATAGTGAGCAGTATTGTGCTCCGTATCTAATGAAAGATGCATTGGCCTTGGAGGCAGTCCAGAGGAGATTTGCAAGAGTGATCCTGGGGATGAAGGGCTTGTCATGTGAGGAGCAGTTGAGGACACCCTGTCTGTACTCAATGGAATTTAGAAGGAAGGGAGTGGGGGGAAATCTCATTGAAACTTACAGGAAATTGCTAGGCCTAGATGGAGTGAACATGAAGAAGATGTTTCTACTAGTAGGAGAGAATAGGAGCCTAGAGCAAAACCTCAGAGTGAAGGGATGGTCCTTTAGAACTGAAATGAAGAGGAATTCCTTCAGGCAGAGGGTGGTGAATCTGTGGAACTCAATGTCACAGAAGACTAATGAGGCCAAGTCATTCAGTAAATATAAAACAAAGATAGGCTCTTGATTAGTAAGGGAATCAAAAGTTACAGGGAGAAGACAGAAGAATGGGATTGAGAAACATAGCCATGATTGAATGGTGGAGCAGACTGGAGCCAAATGGCCTCATCCTGCTCCTGATTTATAATCTTATGGTGTGCACTATAAGGAGGTCAACTAATATTACTGCCCATTCCTGCATTGTGCCTGGTCCATACAAGAGAAAGGAGACAGAATTTAGAGAAGGCACAGTAAACATCACACCAGAGCTCACATTATTTCTTTCACTATTTTCACTTGCCTTTGTGCATCCAAACCATGTCTCTGTCTCACATTTCATGAACTGTACTAATGCCTGCATTATTGAGGCATGAACTATACTGTGCTCAAAAGAAGTTCGAAACAGATACCAATATGACACTGTGGTAGCACAGGATAATTGTGAAGCCCTAGATTACAAGAAAGGAAGGACAGATTTCAAATCACTAACTGTAATTGTCCACATTTTAGATCACAATGTAATTGTGATCTAAAATGCTCTACCATCAATGAAGGTAGAGCAGTGGATGTGGTGTATATGGATTTTAGCAAGGCATTGGACAAGTTTCCCCATGGTAGGCTCATTCAGAAAGTGAGGAGGCATGGGATTCAGGGAAATTTGGCTGTCTGGATACAAAACTGGCTGTCCAATAGAAGACAGATGGAAAGTATTCAGCCTGGAACTCAGTGACCAGTGGTGTGCCGCAGGAATCTGTTCTGGGACCTCTGCTCTTTGTGATCTTTATAAATGATTTGGATGAGGAAGTGGAAGGGTGGGTTAGTAAATTTACAGATGACACGAAGGTTGGTAGAGTTGTGGACAGCATGGAGGGCTGTTGTAGGTTGCAACAGGACATTGACAGGATGCAGAGCTGGGCAAAGAAGTGGCAGATGGAATTCAACCCAGAAAAGTGTGAAGTGATTCATTTTGGAAGGTCGAATTTGAATGCAGAACACAGGGTTAACGGCAGGATTCTCGGCAATGTGGAGGAACAGAGGGATCTTGGGGTCGACGTCCATAGATCCCTCAAAGTTGTGACCCAAGTCAATAGGGTTGTAAAGAAGGTGTATGGTGTGTTGGCTTTCACTGGCAGGGGAATTGAGTTTAAGCGCTGTGAGGTTATGCTGCAGCTCTATAAAACTCTGGTTAGACCACACTTGGAATATTGTGTTCAGTTCTGGTCACCTCATTATAGGAAAGATGTGGAAGCTTTAGAGAGGGTGCAGAGGAGATTTACCAGGATGCTGCCTGGACTGGAGGGCAGGTCTTATGAGGAAACTAGGGCTTTTTTCATTGGAGCGAAGGAGGATAAGAAGTGACTTGATAGAGGTTTACAAGATGACGAGACACATAGATAGAGTGAATAGTCAGACTTTTTCCCCAGGGCGGAAATGACTATTACGAGGGGGCATAATTAAGGTGATTGGAGGAAGGTATAGGGGAGATGTCAGAGGTAGGTTCTTCACAGAGTGGTGGGCATGTGGAATGCACTGGCGGCAGTGGTAGTGGAGTCAGATACTTTAAGAGACTTTTAAGCGACTCTTGGATAGGCACATGGAGGATAATAAAATGTAGGGTATGCAGGGTAGATTGATCTTAGTAGGATAATAGGTCGGCACAACATCGTGGGCCAAAGGGCCTGTACTGTGCTGTACTAAGGTCTATGTAATGGCCCGATGCTTTGTTAGGGCTATCAGTATTGGAAAGAAATGACATGCATTCCTTTGCATTTTCATGACCCCGAAATGTCCCAAACAGATTCACAGTCAATAAAGTACAGTTACTAATGTTCCAATCAAGTTTCATGTGACATGATTCCATTAACAGCTACGAGATTAACTATTTTTTGTTTTTTTAAAAAACAGTGGTGCTGGACAGTGGGAGAACTCCTCTTCCAATAGTGCCAGAGGATCGATTAGATTCACCTGACAGGGAGCTACTATCATTTGAAAGCTGGCAGCTCTCACGGTGCAGTACTGACTGAAGTCTTGGCATGATTACACGCTCAATGTCTGTGAGTGGCTCAAAAATGAAAATGCTACCTAAGCCGAAGTGGATATCTAATTTTGATTAACATTAAAAAAAAAGTGGTTACTGCTGTTGCTGTATACCAAATTAAAATATTTTCTACAATAATAGCTACGATTCCATTTGTGTAGCTGACTTTTTTTTTTAAAGTAGAAGTTTACTGTATAAAAGTAGGGAGGTTTTATTAAATCTTATTAAGGCGCTAGTCAGACAACAGCTGGAATATTTTGAACTGTTTTGGGCCTCTTTTCTAAGGAATGATATACTGGCATTGGACAAGGTCAGAAATCACACGACACCAGGTTGTGGTCCAACAGGTTTGTTTGAAGACAAGCTTTCGGAGCATAGTCCCTTTGTCGAGTAAGGCACACTGGCATTGGTGGCAGTCCGACAATGGTGCACAAGGCTGATCCCAGGTATGCAAGCATTGTCCGATGAGGAAAGATTAAGTAGATTGGGCCTTTACTCATTGGAATCTAGAAGAATGAGAGACAACTTATTGAAATGCACAAAATTCGTAGGGTACTTGACAGGGTAGACGCAGGAAGTGAGGGCAGCATGGTGGCTCAGTGGTTAGTACTGTTGCCTTACAGCGCCAGGGATCCCAGTTCGACTCCAGTCTCAGGCGATTGTCTGTGTGGAGTTTGCACATTCTCCCCGTGTCTGTGTGTTTCTGCTGGGTGATCCAGTTTCCTTTCACAGTGCAAAGATGAGCAAGTTAAGTGTATTGGCTATGCTAAATTCACCCATAGTATTCTGGGATGTGCAGGCTGGGTGCATTAACCATGGGAAATGCAGAGGTGCAGGGTTGGGGGTGTGGGGATGTAGTTGAGTCTGGGTGGGATGCTCTTCGGAGGATCAGTGTGGACTTGTTGGGCCAAATGGCCTGTTTCCACACTGTAGGGATTCTATTGAAAAAGTTAGAACTGGAATCATCAAGACTATCAAATATTTGCTGGGTAACAATATTGAAATAATTCAAAACATTCATAAACAAACAAACAAACAAACAGCACACTGGAACTGAA